AATAAATCATTCAAAGTTTTAAACATTATTTTTATTTTTTAACATTAAGAACATTTCTTTATACCTCATATTACATTGTAATTTGTGTATGTATTATAATAAACTAATAGTTATTAAATATATTGTTTGCTTTTGTAAAATTAATTTTGTTTTATTTTAGAGATATTTTATTGTCAATGTGGAAGAGGATACAAAAATAAAAGTAACTTAACTAGGCACACCCACGAGTGTGGTAAAGAAAAACGATACCATTGTCACTTCTGCTCATACAAATGTCATCGAAGTGATCATTTAAAATACCATATGCGTAAGCATATTAAAATTGGGAATATGATGAATAAATTAGAATTTTAAATATATAGTGCCTGAAGTATGTTAGCGGAATATTTTATAAAATATCTTGTTTAACGATAAAAAATATGTATTTTTGTAAAGCTGTGTTACTGATTAACGATTAAAAATTCTTTAATTTCAACAAATTAAATTTATATTTTTCGTTAAATAATCTATCAATATATTCTTTATTTGTAATAAATGTTAAAAATATGTGTTTGTGTTCTTATACAATAAATTATTTTTTCAACTCCCACCTGTAAAACGCCAATTATCGTACATATTTTCATGACACTAATGGACCTTTTAAATACACATTGACAAGTTGTTGCTTTATGGCGCTTTAGTCACGGGCTGAAGTAAGCAACATATTTTTAGTCACGGGCTGAAGTTAGTTAGTTGACAGTTGTCAAATGTTATATAATCGTTAATAGAGTGCCTTTCTTGTAAAATATTATTAAATGTAAAAATTATTTTATTATCTCAATACAAAAATACAAAAGTATTAAATAGTTTCTTGACGCCAATATTTGAAAAGATTATATAAACGTTTGTACTGCCTTTTGATTTCGCCGCAGTAGTGCAGTAAACTAGATTTAACTAATAGAGCATTACAAATTTTGCGTACATTATCCATAACACATAAATAAGAATTCTCTTCTCTTTAACTGTGAAAAACTGCTTCTATATCGATTGTTAGTCTATTTTCAAGGAATAAATTTTGATTTACACAGAAGAATTTAAAATTTTAACGCCAAGTACCTTTAGCATTTCAAGTGTAAGATTTTTTTATACTTTGTAATAATATTTTGCAATTATAGTGATAAAAAAATTAATGTCAAAATATGTTCTTAACATAATTCTATTTTAAAGTTATTTTTATCTTTTAAAGTATAAATAATTGTTAAGTTTAATTAAAATAATAACGGGCAATCCTAATGGTAAAAATTACGTCAAAAATGTTTATTGGGATGGTTACTTTATTTTTGTATAGATGTCAATTTATACAAATATTTAATTTAAATTATTTTTTAGATAATATTAAGTATTTATCATAAAAAAGTATAATATGCAACTTGTTTATAAACTTATTTAATTAAGCCTAAAACTATTATCTTCTCTAATTTAAGCTTAGCTAGTACTAAAGGATTCGATTATCTTTTAGTCTGTAAAAATAATTTAGACGAGGTAAAGTTTTTTATATCCTAGTGTATAAAAAACCCTTTAGGTCCAATAAAACAAATTCGATACCTGCTAAGAGCTTTAAAGCTACCTAACATCACTGTATGCTTTTAATAATTTTTATTATAATTGTAAGTTCATTTTATGTATCGTACTGTAGGTACCCTAAACATAAAATGTTGTATGCCATTCGGCTCAGAAGTTTCTTTTTGTGCTTCGCTCTGCTCTCAGCCTTATGACATGTGTACCTTAATAAACACAGTACGATATGCATGGGTTTCGTATTGTCTCTATGAAAATAGTAAGATACGCAAATATAATTTGAATTTTTCTTAAAATTTTGACAAATATAAAAAATAGCATATATAACTAATGTCAAGACATTATGAAAATAGTAGATTATGTCATAAGGAGTAGAAGCGACTCTTTTTGTGGTGAGTACAGAGATTGACGGCCGAAGCGTAGCTGAGGCAGGCAACTGTACGAAGCACAAAAAGAGCTTCTACTCCAAATAACATATACAATTTTTTTTTCAAGGGCGTAATATAAATAGGATAAGCAATGGAATTATTTTATTTACTCTTAACTCATGTGGTATAAAATTTTGGCTAAAAGCATTAGAAATTATTGATAAAAACTAAAAAAACTTATAACCCTTACTTACAATGCCGATAAATATCCTAAACCATAGATAACAAAGCCAAAACTAAAAATAAACCCTGCTCTGTCAAAATGCTGCGCTTGAATTAATTTTGACGTACTGACATTTGTTTGGAGTTCCGACATTGGCAACTCGTCTATCATCATAATATTATACTAATAAACTAGTTGTTCTTTATTTCTTTCAATTAAAATTTAATAAATAATCACTAAATATTCCGTGCGATTATAATTAATATAATTAATACAACGTGATTGCTTTGTATGAAATTCTAAATTAATTTCATTATTTGACGTCTATTGAGACACCTATGGATTTACTTCTATCCCTAGGCTTTTTTGAGTTTTTTGTCTGCCGCTAATGAAAAAGACGCACTTCAACTATCTCTATACAGGCATATAAGGTTGTATATCATGGCCGCTTGAAAAAAAAATACTTCTTATGATATTAATTCTATTACTATTACTATTCCTTCTTATGATATTAATTCTATTATAATAGAATAGAATATAGTATACTATTACTATTACTGGGTGTTGATTTGATCTTTGATCTTTTTAAGTTAAATTACTTGTTTGGTTTAAGGGGGATTTTCTATGCACTATTTTGATTTATAAATAAATAATAACAGAGGTCTACAAAATTTAACTTTTGGACTATATTAGGTTTTTAAGAAATTCTAACTCAAAAGTGAAAAACTCGTAGGTAGGACCAACAAATTATCAAAATTATCTATTGGGCGTTCACTCATATTCGAGGTTTTTACATCTTTATGTATTTTTACCAAAAAACTCTTTACGCCATATTTTTTTACTACTTTCTTAAAATGACTAATTGCTATAGCGAAAAAGCAGCTACTAAACACTGTAGTCCCTATCAATTTGTATACAGGACATTTAACAGTCAATTCCTATGTAAAAATTTCCATTGAATCATCATCAAAACATAAAAGTAGAGCAGTTTTTGAGATATAGGCAATTCCAAATTATATGGAAAATTGACTTTATCTTAAAAACTGTTCTTTAGAACGTATACTTTTATAACTTTTGACACCATTGTCGGATTCAGCGAACAATTTTACATATAAATTGACTGCTAAATGTCCGAGATACAAATTGCTGTTGATTGGAATTATTAGTGGCTGCTTTTTTGCCAAGACAATTAGTCATTTGTGACTAATTCATTTTAACATAGTTGGTACTCGTAACTTTTTAAATTCTCTTTGATATTTTAATATGAGAGGATAAAAGATATTAAAAGGATTTTGAACAGGATGAGTAGTACTTTTAAATGGGGTTAGACGAGTTCTGTGGAAAAAATATGTAACAAAACCCGTTTTTCTACTTTTGTGCTATAATTTAAAAAAAACCGAATATGGTCCAAAAGTTAAATTTTGTAGACCTCTGTTATTATTTATTTATAAATCAATATAGTGCGAAGAAAATCCCCCTTATACCAAAAAAGTAATTTAACTTGAAAATATCAAAAAGCAGGTAGCAAGAATAAGAATTACAGTACATTCACACGTTATAAGTAAAATTTTGTGTTTTTAATGTATACATTTTGTTTCATAATATTTATTTTTAAGGAGAAACTGTAATACCACTTGACAACCCTACCAAAGGTGCTAGAACGATTTGTAAACTATGCCCTTCAAAAAAACGACGAATGACCACCACGTATTGTCGTAACTGTAGACGGCCATATTGTGCAGAACATAAGGCTACATTATGCAGTGAATGCAATGGCCTCTGAGTAAATACTCATATTTTAAACTAAGGCATCGTTTAAATTCATTTTAATAAATTATTAAATACAAAAATGTGTCAATTACATTTTTTTTTATCAAACAAACCTACCATTATTATGTTATTATCCATAAATATGGAAAATATCAAAATATTTTTAGGATTATTGTAATGCTGTAGAGACAAAAAAAATGGAAGAAACTTTTAAGTTCAATCAGTCAGGACTCCCGGAAGAAAAAAAAGAAGTTGTTAATCAAAATACAAAAAATTCTATATAATTAACAACTTGTAACATCAATAACGTGTAAAATATAGTGCAAATTTATTTATATTATGGTCGTGTCACACGACTCCTGTGTAGAAACCATTGTTAAGATTCGTGGGGTTATCAAAATTTAATGGATGCACATCTTAAAATTAAAAAAGAACCAAACAAATGAAAATTTTTCATTGCCAGGATAATACACGTTATATTAAAAGTTATTTGATTTAGTTACAAACAAATAAAAAATTAAAATCCATCCATAGGATGAGGTAACTCATACGTCTATGAAAAGTTTTTATTAAAAAAAATGTTTATGATTTTTATAATTTTTGTACTTAAAAGTGGAAAAAAAATTTATTATTATAACACTGTCGTGGAATACATTGAAGATGGGCATATTATAAAAGTTTCCAGAAGTATTTCTTAGGTAATTTGTTTCTTAAATATTTACATTCATAAGTCTATTTTAATATATTTTAGGTTAATTTAAATTATAATGAAACATCAGTATACACCAATTATACCGAATATTTAGAAGACTGAGATGATTTCTACAACTTTGTTCTTTCGAGAAAAAAATCATATCATCCCAAACTTGATCTGTTTAAACTCTGCTTTACTGCAAGGGTTTAGGTTTATTAAGTTTTTTTCATATTAATAACGTTTGGATAAATTCTGCAATACTTTCACATATGTTGCCTTCCGAAAGGTAGGATTCTTCAATTAGCGACTGCGCCAATTCCATGTTGGTATTCCATTGAGGTAAACTCTAACAATGCAATGTTTAATTGTTTAATTATTTTTTTTTTAGGTTCCAAACAAGATAGCAAATGTTATAAAGAATATTTGATTGTGGAAGGTAAATCTCTCTGGATATGTTGTAGTCCTGGATGTTTGGTAGCGTTTCTGATTTCCATCCGTATCCTTTGTATTTGATACTTAATTTAAACTATTTTATGTAATGCATATTAATATCCTCCCAAATCGGAACATCGGGTCGAATATCTGCTTTTTTAAAATTAAATTGGTAATAAGCAAAAAATTAAACTTTGATGAAAAAAATTACGTGCAAAAGAATAATTTTTAAATCTTAAGCGTAATGGCACCCAAAATTAATTTATCAATTTTATGAATAAAAATGTTTTAATGATTTATTTTGTTAGTAAATTAAATTGCCCACAAAAAGGCACTCAGTAATGATCGCATAAATATTGTAGTTCCAGACATTTTCGCGATTTTATTTTAAAAATGACAATTCGTCCTTTCATAAGCATTTTTTCATTTGTCCATCATTTCCCACCATTGGCATGAACCATAAGAGATACGAAGTTGGTTAAATTACAAAAAAGTAGCGCTATTTTATGATCATTTTAAGTATGTCAAGAAATTTAGGATACCTTCGACCAATACTGAAATATCCTGAAAAAAACTTAAAGAGTCAAATTTAAATTAAAATCCTTTATAGATTTTTTACTATTGCAGCTATCAATTTGAAACTTCAGTTCTACGGAAAAAATCATGTTGCCTTGCTTTTTTAAATGCCCAAAGTCATATTACGGTTTATAAAATGCCAATGGTGGTAAATAAAAACCGCATTACCCTGTATATTGTAGTTCCAGAAATAATCATGATTTTATTGCAAAATAAAATTAAAAGTAAAAAAAAATTTTCACCTTATTTATATTTTTGATGTTAATTAAAAAAAACTGATATTTGATCAATTTAATCCAGCAATTTTAAATGTGACGGTGGACCAACATCGACTCTAAGAGGTCGTTTCAAGGAATTCAGGAAATGGTTTTAATGGTTTAAAAACAAATGTTATTGATTGTTATGAAAAGGTTATAGCTATAATATTATGCCTAATTTTATACATTTATTTTTAATAAATACAAAAAACATTTTAATATTATTTTTTTTCTTACAACTTTTTTCTTTTGTGACCAGTACAGGTCGTAGTTTGTAGAATTTTGATTCATGTATAAAAATAAATAATAATTTAGAGTGATATTGTATGTAGTAATGGTGTAAATAAAAAAACAAAATATTAATATTATTTTGTTTTAGATTATTTCTACATTCTGGATGGATTCTTTTTCTGCTGTACTTGCAACAAAAGATACGTTTACAAGAAAGGTGTAATGCGACATATTAAGTACGAGTGCAACAAACCTCCGCAATTTCTATGCACCCTTTGCTTTAAACGATTTACTCAAAAAACGTCCCTCAAACATCATCAAAAAGCTGTTCATTCTCGCATAGTAATAGACTTTTAAATAAAATTTAATTAATATGATGTATACGTATACATATATGTAGGCTGCTAAATTTTAATTTTTTTGTGAGTATGTTTTTTTGTATTTTATTTTGGGTGTTTGGAGATTTTAGTTTTAATTTAATTTAGGTTATGTTCCCAATTTTAAATTATTTATTTATTTATTTACATTTTAATTATATCGTATTTTCATTTTTGGTGTAAACAGCTGATGCATCATAGAACTATTCGTTTTTTAAAAGGGAGGAATAATTCGACCTTGTCTCTAAAGATTTTAGTCGAACACTGAACTGACAGACTAGGATGTAAAAAACGTTACCTGATTGGTCTAAATTATTTTACAGACTAGGAGATAATCAAATACTTTGAGCGTTGACAATAATAAAGCTTAAATTATAGAACGTTTGAAGATAAATAATTATGTTACACCAGACTAAAAGTAGTAAAAGTAAATAGGTTTCATTGGTGACATTTGCATTCTAAACCTTTAATACAGGGTGTCATGTAATAGGTTGTCATCCCTTGGGGGTATTATAAAGCCAAAGGAAGCAAGTTTTTCCTCTATCAATTTGGCATTAGTGCTACTGTTTTTAAATAAATCGATTTATAAAATTATAATTTAACTTTATAAATCATTTATTATTATTATTATTATTATTTAACTTTATAAATCATTATTATTATTTATTTTGTAAAAAGAAATTTCCAATGGACTCTTTGCAAAAAATAATATTATGTTGTTGATTGCTACTTTTATTAAAATGTGTATATTTTCTAAACAAAATTCAATTTTTCCCAAAAAAGACAATTTTTGAAAGGCCTGGGAAAACAAAGAAAAAGCTGTTTTCCCCCAATTTTTCCCTAGTTCGGATGCACTCGGCACTGTTTACTTTTCGCGTGAAAATACGGTATATACATACATTGTAAACGATTTTTTTATTAATTAAAAACTGCAGTACTATTTATGTGTTTTCTTTTCTTTAATACAATATTTTTATAGTATTACTTTATTGAAAAATTTCATGTTAAAAATTGTCTAGGTATTCCTGTGAATCTGCTGTTTTACTTTATAAAATAAAGTTTATTCTATTCTATTCTATTTTATTATATTACTTAGTTTATGCAGGGGGTGGCAGAATTAGTAAAGTCGTTCTTTCTTTATCCTGCAATATTCATTTTTTAAATATGTCTTATAGCACCTAACCAGGTGGATCATTGTGGCGGGTACCTGAAAGCGATCAACCATGGTTGCACGAGGGGACATGGGACGTGGATAAAAATATATAAAAAAAACAAGGAATGATGAGCCAACACATTTTAGTATACTATAGATACCTAATGCCTATTCAGCAAAGCAAGTTCGACCTAAAATTGGTCACAAGTATCCGACCAAAAGATGTGACAAAAAGTAATAAAAAACCCATAAATCTAAGTAGGTTGACACTCTAAACCATTTTCTAATATTTGCCTAACATAAACATAATAAACCCAATTATATTTAATAAAATAATAAAAATTCAATTTCGTAATCGTTAGAAAAGATAACAGAAAACGTAAATATAATTTCTACCACAAAATAGAAATAATAAACCGCTCGGGCAATACATTAACCAGAATTATTAATAATTTTTAGTGATAAACGTGAAAAAAATTATCGATAATTATTAATAGATACATTTCCAACTATCGAAAACTATCTTTGATAGTTCTTGACATCTAGGCTGAATAAATGGTTTTCTCATAGAGGGGCAAATAATTTGTGTATAGCAGTATCCGAATTTGTAGTATTTAGATCCTTAAGAAGTTAGATAGGCCCCAGCAGCCTACTTACTTATCATTCAAGAAACCCAATTGAATGGGGGTATTACTAAATCCCCGGTTGAGGGGGATTCCGTTGTACTTAGTTTTGGGTCAGTCTAATGTACACCAAAAACCAACATATTTCCCCTTCTCGTCCCACACTCCACTAGCCTAAATCGGGCGTATGGCCCGGCCCGGCGACAAAATTCCGGGAGGGGCCTTATCCATAGACACTGCCATTTACGACCTCCTAAGAGAGATTAACCAGCCGGTGTGAAAATTTGGATCTATCAAATACAGCTAATGTGCAGTTTCAGGATACGTAGGAGAACTGAAAGGGGGTAAAATCACTCTGGGAAATTAGTGTAAGGCGATGCTGATGTGGCTAGCCATACGTACCTTATACTCAAACTTAACATTTTTTTAAGAAACAATTTAGATGCGGCATAATTCCTGGAAAGGAAGGCACACACCTTATGTAAATTGTTAAAATATGCTTTACAAATCAAAACTATTTATAACTGATATTCATCGATTAAATATTTTGTAAATGTCTTGTAATATTATTGGAAGCTAAAATAGAATATTATGTATCAAGTTTTATAAACGTCATGTTAGTTAGAAAAGATGATAAAACGAGTTGCATACTATACTTTATCTACGGCTAACATGCAGAAACAAGAAAATAAACCCAATTATATTTTGTTAAACATTTGATATCTGTCAACTGCCAACGGATTTAATATCGTTTCGCCAATTTATAATAAAGCTAACTTTAGCCCGTAACTAAAATGCCCAAAAGCCACTGTTGCTAAATTCAGCCCGTGACTAAAACGCCATAAAGTCACAGCTTAGCGATGAGGAGGTAGATAAAATGTATTATTTTTTAACAATGTTATCCCCATTTAATACATTTATTTTTAGGTAGATATAAATGTCAAAAATGTGGCAAATCATATAAGCACAAACAAAATTTAAATAGGCATGCAAATCTCGAATGTGACGGTGTACCAAAGTTTGTTTGTCAGTATTGCAATAAAGCATATACTAGAAAATTGACTCTAAGAGGTCATATGGAATCGTGTCAAGGAATTCAGTAATTTAATTAAAATCTTTAAAATTATAAAAAAATATTATTGGTTGTCATAAAAAAGCTTAGAAATAATAATTTTATACATTTCTTATTAATAAATACAAATAACATTTTAAAATTATATTTTTTTTCTACAAAATATATATTCTCAGTTATTGATAAAGTAAGTACAAGTCGTAAATAATTCATTTTTGTATACAAATCAATAATTTTGTAATATTTGATTTACGTATAGTGAAATTTTGTGTAAATAAAAAAGCAATAGTTCCTTTGGCGTGAAAAACACGCGAATGGAACTCCTTTTTCTTTGATATTTGTTTGACAACGAAACAAAACAAAACAAAAATACATTATTTTTTCCAGCCTTAGCAGGTCCACGAAGTTACATATTTCTTGCGGCTGTTGAACAAAATATTAATATTATTTTTTTTAGATTGTTACTACATTCTGGATGGATACTTTTTCTGCCAAACTTGCAACAATAGATACGCTTACAAGAAAGGTGTAATGCGACATATCAGGGGTGCCCATCCTGTGCTCCTGCGGGGACCGGGGCAAATTTACTTGTAGGGGGCCCTAATGTGTCTAAAATTTGCTCTCTCAATAGTTTTGTTGGTTTCTTTTTTACTCAAGTGTCCTGTAAATGAACATACAAAGAGGACCGCAAACCCTATGATATTGCGAAGCCATATTTTTCCAATATTGTAAGCTTATTTTTAAAAGTTTTAGTTCAATTATAAACTGAACAAAATTTATACATGTAGGCTTACATTGTAGGGTCATAACGAATTATTTCAATTCAATAATACAAAAATAATAATAACTCCATGTTTGAAAAAATAAAAAAATAAATATCCTTAATTTTTTTTCGATGAGTTAATAAACATCTTCATCCACAGGTACCTGTGCTTCTCCAATTTAATTTATAAAACAAAATAAATTTTATTTATAGGTGGGTATTGTTAAAAATTATATTTTAGTTATTTTAGCTACGAGGAAAGGAATCTAATAGCTTGTGTGTATATTGAGATTCACTCGAAAAACCTCCATTATAAACTAATAATATGGAAATACATAAAATTAAGCATTTAACAGATAAAATTACGCCTATAACAAATTCAAAATTTTTAACCTTTATAACAGTTAGAAGTATTTAAATTAACTCAAAAAACGCTTTCTTATGGAATCGCACATTTGTACTTTTCGCTTGATTGTAGAACATAATTAATTTTCAAACCCATTTTTTTCAGGTATTATATATGGTATTTTAATAAATTGTCATATGTTTTTTTTTATATAAAATTGGAATTCCAGTTCAAAACTAAACTTTTAGGCTTTCACTTTTGGGCCCCTAAAGTTTTGGGGCCCAGGGAAAACTGACCTTCGACATATTAAATACGAGTGCAACAAACCTCTGCATTTTACTAAAAAACGTCATCAGAAATCTATTCATTCTTGCATATATGCTATATATAATAATATACTTTTAGTTTAAAATTTAGTTATTAGGATATTTAGTATGTGTATACAGGGTGTCCCATAATTAACGTGCAATACTTTCACAGCAAATCCTATAAACATAGGTCGAGAATTGCTTCCCTGAAGATGGTTTTTATTTAATATCCCCAATATCGTTAAAGATAGAAACGTGAAATTTTGGAGTTTTACTCACAAAGATTGTCCTCTTATTGAACTTCGATAATATTTACCATTTTCGCTTAAAATAGATTTTAAAATTAACTTACATGGCATAAAACGTTATAATGAAATCATAAGTAATGAAAAAAATTCAGCTTGGGCCATGGAACACCGCTGCCATGTTTAGAAAAAAATATTCAAGACAGGTGACCTTTTATGAAATGTAACAGGGAGTTTAATCAGTTCCCAAAATTTCATTTTTCTATTTTGAACGGTTTTAGAGACATTAAATAAAAACCATAATCAGTGGCTCCTCTTTCGGGGGTTGTAGCTCCCTTAGGATGCATTTCTCGACTTATGTTTATAGGAACTATTTTCCTATTTTTGTACGAGAAATCTGCTGTTGTACGCTAATTATGGGATACCCTGAAGAGTTAGCTTAACTTTAATTTTTTGTGAGTATATTACTTTTTAGTATTTTGAGTGTTTGGAGTATTTAATTTTAATTTAATTTAGGTATTGAGCCTAATCTAAAACTATTTTTATTTGTTTAATTTATTAAAATATACATAAAATGTTTTTATACAATATATATAAATAATTTAGAAATGATTTTTTGAAATAATAAAGTACTGTACTATTTTTGTGTTTTCTTTTTTAATAAAATATTTTAACATTACTTAGCCTATGCAGGGGTCGATAGAAGTGGTAAAGTCATATTCTGCAATATCCATTTGTTGAATGTCTTAAAAGTGAATGCAACCTTTTTATTTCATTAGGACCTAATACTAAATTGAGTAAAAATCCATTTGTTTATTCTGCCGATCCCTGTATACTTGAACCTGGGTAGAAAAATAAGAACACAGACCGACAAAATTTTAAAACATAAACCAGACTGTATCTTTTTGTACTGAATGTTTTAGAGAAGTTTTAATCCAACAATTAAAAAATAAGCAGTAATAGGGTCATTCCACGTTACTCGGTGATTTTTGTCCCGCCCGTCACAACTAAAAATTGTGAGTAAAAACTACACGTTATAAAATTTATTTAAAAATTTTGTTTTATTATGCTTTTAATAAATTATAAGCACAATAAAAATAATATTATAAAATATTAATTTTATAACTTGTGGTTTTTACTCACAATTTTTAATTGTGACGGGCGGGACAAAAATTACCGAGTAACGTGGAATGCCCCAATAGTAAAAATTTTATTAATCATCTAGATCATAAATTTCAAATAAGGATTTGTAGGAGAGCAAAAAGATTTTAAAGACGAAGTACCTTTTAGATGGCGTAACAAGTGATGTAACATACATTTAAATATAATGAAACAATGCATTTTTTAAATTTTGGGTAAAAGTCGTATTTAGATTCATCAAAACCATCGAAAAGATCTGGATTTTTGTATAGAAGTTTTTTACATTTTGTCGGCCTGTGGAATTGTTGGTGTAATATTTGGTGTCTCGCAAATTTAAATATAAATAAATTAAATATAATAAATTAAAATATTGTTATTTTAGGTATATTAGTTGCTGAGTTACCAAAACCAGTTATTGAAAAAGGTAAAAATAAATTTTAAGGTTATAAAATTAAAATTTCTAATATATTTTTTATATTTTAGCTCTACTGGACAATACTATTGGTAAGTTTTTTTATATTTTCAGCTGTTCCAGTAGTTTTTTAATCGTTTATTTTAGAGCATCAACTGAACTTAATTAAAAACTTTTTCTCCGAAATTAAAACAAGTCTTTTTGATATAAATGGAAAAATTGATATGCTTGTTCCTGCTGCTAAAACTTCCTCCTCTGGTTTTCCGTTTAAACTGCCTTTTAAACTTCCTTTACAAACAATTGAAGAATTGGAAGCATTTGAAAAAGAAATTTTGCAAAATGAAACCTCAAGGCAATGTTATGTAAGTATTATTTCTACTGGGTATGTCGAAAATGACTATATGGTTTTTATACTTAAAATAACTCCCCACGTATGCCATTTTCGATATACGCTGTTAAGATAAAACCTTCTTTTTCTATTTTTAATTTTATTTTAGATCGACGTTTTAAAAGGTGTGGGTGGCAAAAACCCCAAAGATTACACACACAGAGTGTGCCGTTTGTTGATGACAAATAATTTGGGAGAGCTTTGTTCTTGGTTAGGAAGAAAACAAAATTACAAAATTTCTCATTTGAATTTCATCGAGGATGCATTTGGTAAGTTCATTATTTATCTTATTATCAATAAGGTGTCCCGAAAATAGTGTGCAATACTTTAAAAGCGGTTTTTAGGGCCAAAAATAGAAAGAACTTTATATGAACACAGGTCGGCCACAGCGTCTTAAAGAGGCGTCCCTGAACATATTTTATTATTAATAGTTCTGAAACGGTTTGAGAAAAAATAATATTTTAAATTGAAAAAGACAATTTTTTTTGGAAATTTGAATTTTTTTTTGAAAATTTTGTATTTCATCGATGTTTAACAAAAATACCTTGTTTACCTAAAAAACTCAAAATTTTTATTTTCTTCAGCCAATTTGCAAAAAAGTGCACATAACAAATTTGGGGCTAAAAAACCCTAGGTATGTTTAATACACTCATAAATAAAAAAAATATATATTTTTTTTTACTTTAGAATTTAGAATAAACAGTTAGGTAAACATACAAAATTTCATTATTTTATCTCGATCCATTTCGGAAATAATAATAATAGGCGCCCCTTTACGGGGTAGTAGCTCCCTTAGGGGCCATTTGCCGACCTTTGTATTATAAGAAGATTTCTTCCAATTTTTGTAATTGGAAACCACACGTAGAGTATTGAACACTATTTTCGGGATACCCAGTATAATAAATTGTTTAGGGCATCACATTAAGGGCGGATAACAGTTTTCACGATAGTCCTTAATCGGTTCCAAATAAAGAAATAACCAAGTTCACGCTCTTAATATTATATTAACCTGCCCCCACAGCAGTCAAAGTATTTTTTTAAATTTTACTTTGAATTTTTATTACTTTGTTAATAATTATTATAATCATAATTAATTATAATCGATTATAATCAATAAAAAAAAAATATTCGGTCGAGTACCAGATATTCCAAAATCTACGAAAATTTCCAAAATTAACTGCTAAATAAAAAAAAAATTAAAAAATCAATAAATATTTGTAGGGTAAAAAAAATAGTTTATATTATAGACCATGCAAACTGGGAGAAATTTAAATGTATAAGCAGTAAGAGTATACATGCTTATATATTTTTCTTATTCTTATTCTCATTCTCATTTTCATTCTCATTCTCATTCCAATTTTCATTCTCATTCTCATTCCAATTCTCATTCTCATTCTCATTCTCATTTTCATTCTCATTCTTATTCTTATTCTTATTCTTCTTTTCATTCTTATTCTTATTCTTATTTTTCTTTTCATTCTTATTATTATTATTATTATTATTATTATTATTCTTATTCTCATTCTCATTCTCATTCTCATGGTTTATTTTAATAATAATCTATGTCTGTCTCATATATTTAAATTTCTCACAGTTTGCATAGTCTTTTTTTTATTTCCATTGTTTCCATATAATCTTCTCACTAATATTCTTGTCCTTGATTTATTCATTTATTCCATTTTCACCATTTACACAATATTAACAATTATCAAACTGTACCTTTTTACGGACATCCGTACCTATACATTTCTTCTTTCATCAATAATTCTGTTTTTTCTTTAAATATATTAGGAAATCAATCAGTACCTACCTATTTTAATTTTATTTCATCAATATTACATTTTTTTCTTCATTTTAACCATGCATGGCCAATGGCTCCGTGTAGACTTATTTCCATACATATTTCAACCATCCGTTTTGAAAATTTCTTGTATCTAACCCAATCTAATTGATAGTTACCAGCTTATTTTTGTGCTAGGATTCCGATTTTGAACCTCCAGGGTCACAAGTCACTTATATTTCAAACTGTTTCTATGGAGCAAGTGACCTCATTTCGACTGAATTCTACTAAAAGAGACAGATACCTAAACTCACATTTTCGTCATTCACCAATACCATATAAGAAAAACAAATTTCTTTTTATCAATCAAGGTTTAGCCCATCTTCTTATGGCGAGAAGTAATTTTTCGTAAGTAATATCATAAGGGCATTTAATTTTACCGAAAAGAATCGAAAAAACACGTTGCTAAATAATATTTTAACAAAAAGCATGAGTGCTGGTGGCAACAAAAATCCGAGTCGAAGAGGAGGATTTTTGCACCTGCACGAATGCTGTTTGTTAAAAAATATTACTTAGCATTGTGTTTTTTCGATTTTTTTCACAGGAAAAATTAGATGCCCGAATGGTATTTGACAAGACTATTTCATGAGTAACAGTTAACAATTAAATATAAATTGCAATTTTTGGTGACAACAGCTGTCAAGTTTTGCCGCGGGTAAACTCGAATAAACTACTGACAGGTGCTGTCACACAGTTTTTTCACCTAGAAACCATTTGTAATTCAAAATTGCGCGTTTGTGATTGGTGGAAATTAAGACGAGGGAAATAGTCATCAACATTTTCCATTATTATTTTTTAAAAATTTCATCAAAAACCCACCTTTTTTGCGAACTGCACAAGGTTTATGAGTGTCTAAATAAGAATACAACTACTCAATAATTTTCGCCAAATTGTTTGATGGTCTAAACACAGCATTATTTTAAAGAGCCGCACTTGACCAATATATGAGTCAACAAAAGCATAAAGCCACACGATTGGGCGATACCCTATAAAGGTTAAACCTTTCTGTGAGGCCTTAAATATTTTAACTCAAACTATTATTTTTAAATTTGAATTTTCAAAAATTATAATTTAAAGCTATTAATATAAAGTTTATAAAATTTATTTAATTGACAATTTTTAGGAGTGGTTTACCAGATGACAAAATGTACCAAAAAGGAATTCGAATCATATTTTTCATTTTGGCTCCGCCATGCAAAAGCAAGAAGATTACATAATGAGAAAAAGAAACAGTGAGCCAAATTTACATTAAGAATTTAACTTTTAACAATGTTTATGTCAAAATGTAATCATTTTTTTTTAATTATTAGTTGTGTGTTTACATTAGTACTTATGAATAAAATAAATAAAATAGCTAGTTTGATTGTTTTATTATTTTTAATATGTTTGCCGCAATTGTTTTTATTTAATTATATTATTTTATTAAATTAACATCTTTAACATTTTTAGCTAAATACTACTGTCCATGTGGAAAGGCCTATGTAAAATTTGAATCATACCATTATCATCTAAAGTATTATTGTGGAAAGGAGCCAACCTTTATATGTTCAGTAAAATTCTGTTCTTATAAAACTCACCTTAAGTCAAATTTGAAACGCCATCTAAAAAAGCACGATGGTTAATTAAAAAAGGGATTATGGCGTCTTGTTATAATATGTGGTAAAATCTCTTCCCTTTTAAATTATATTTACACAAAATACAAGATGATTTTAACAAAAAAATTGTTATTTTAATATATTAATATTTTTAATTTTAGGTTCATACTTTTGTCACAATTGCAATAAAGCATATAAAGCAAAAGGCACGTTAACGCGTCACATGACTTTTGAATGTGGAAAGGAACCAACATTTTTTTGCAAAATAATTGGTTGTAATTATAGGGCAAAGCTTAAATCCAATTTGCAAAGGCATATTATATTAAAGCATAAAAAGGATTCATAAATTAAATATTATGTTTGTGTAAATTATAGGTTTAATAAAATAAATTTCGTATTATTTTTACCCCTAATCTTCCGTCCAATGTAAAACCGTTAAGTGTAATTTTTGAGTTGATGTTGCATTGTTGCATGTAGCATTAGAATCGTAAGGAAATTCTGAAGTTTATTGTGTTGAACATTCCTAAATTTAAAATTAAAAAAAAACATATTTTGGAGACATCCTAGTTGAAGATTTCGGAGCAAAAAATTCGGAACAATGCCCACTATACAGAAATTAAAAACAATAAAAGGTTTACATTTTTTAGTTAAAGTCGGAGGTTCGTTTCCTCTTTTAAACCCACATCTTGTACTTTTGCAATGCGTCACAAGAAAAATATAAGGAGTTTGGAAAAAGCAAATAAGTTTAATTTAGATATAAATACATATATGTTTACCATTTGGTAAGCATAAATAAAACATATCAAGAAAAGTCAACTGGGAGATGTTACTTTCTTTTACTGGATACTCAAACCAAGTTAATAAATCTTTTTTTCTTTTGGCCACAAACCTTAATGCACATGTTGAGCCTTTCCATTAAAAACCTAATTTTTCTTAAAATTAGTTGAACGTTTTTTTTTAAATTTTATCTATATTACATTACGTTATTTTTAATTTTAATCATGATTTAAATAAAAAAAATCATTTGATTCGAGATTTTTTCCAAATTTTAAAAATCGTACCTACCTTGTTGAGAGTATTTTTTTTTAAATATATTGAATACATTCTATTTATTCAACGGATTAGGTATTATTTTAAAAATTTGAAAAAAAAAATGGTTTTTGATGCTCCTTCTCGTAGGTACTTCTAAACTATTCGAAGTTTAATAATTGTTTAATAATTATTATACTTTTATATTTTGCATTTTTTTTATATCTTTATCACTTTTTGGCAGGGAACGGCAAAAATCGGATATTGCAAAAATATACCCCACCCTAATATAGGTAAACAATTTTTTTCTTCCGAAATTTTTTATTTTACCTACCTCTGACATTTTTAAAAATTTATTAGTGGTGTGGTCGGTTGTTATAAAATTATTTTAAAATTTCACACAATATCTCGTAAATATTTAAAAAAAAGTGGAAAATAAACAATAGTATTCTAAAAAACTAAATGAAAAAAATAATATGAATCAGGTGTTTAAATTGGTCCCCAAACGCT